TACCAAGCTTTTTGTTACTGTCTGCAAAGCTGAAATAAATGTGCATCACAAAAGTGTAGGTTTCATTTCAACATAGGTTGGGACTCATATTTATTCCCTGCATTCTGGTGGTTTTATGCACCAGTTTATGGTGAAAATGTCTTAATCTATGTGAAGAATATCACAAAATTAAAGGTTGGTGACAATTCAAAATATAAAAATAGGATATAGAATAAAATGCATTAAGGCTCTGAAGCATTTTTGACTTTTGCTATATGCTATTAATGTTTTTACTTAAGAAAAAAGTTATGAGTTCTTCTACAGCTGCCAATAGCCTACCAACACTCTGGTTAGAGAAAGGGTGAAATTATTGATTCATTCATTTCCTATAACTGCTTATCCTGGTAGGGGTCGTGGTGGCTGGAGTCTATCCCAGCTGACATTGGGCGAGAAGACACCCTGGACAGGTCACCAGACTAGACAGGGCTGACACATAGAGACAGACAACCATTCACACCTACAGCCAGCACAAGAGAGTCACAATTCACCTGCATGTCTTTGGACTGTGGAAGAAGGGTGGAGTACGCGGAGAAAACCCACAATGACACAGGGAGAACATGCAAACTCTGCACAGAAGGGCTCAAACCAGGCCCCAGGCCCCCAAAACATTAAATCCACCCCTGGTAGTGATAATAATGAAAGCACAGCCGAGAGCAGCTGATGAAAGGAGGGACATGGAGAGATGCGTCCTCGTAGTTATAAAGAATTCCACCTAAAGAAGTCCAAAGAAATCACTTTCCACTGCTGAACATTTGATTGTTTGTTAAATTTAGACACTTTGCTGCTGTCTGGAGAAGCTTCACTCTGTTTTTCTGCCTCTCTCACTGCACTGTGCTACCGGGCGCTGCTCTGATCGATTGCTCAGCGATTAGGGTGGTTCAAAAATGTCTTTTTCCTTTACACTTACTTGTTTTTGTCTGTAGCTAAAAATAGTAAAATAATTATAGCTGCTGCGCAGCGATGGGTCGGGTCCGGGCATTTTTAGGCAATTCTGAGCAACAAAAAGAAGAATTGGAAGACATTTAGGAATTTAGCAACACAATCTGCCTTTTGCATCAGCTGAGGCTTGAACTCACAACCACTGAAACTAAGAATAAATTTCTATATCACTGAGCTAATTAATCAGTGACAATTCATATGTAGCTTCACAAATTGACTAAGCCAGACGTGCAGGTTTCGCAGCCGTCCATGCATGGAAAAGCAGATTTCAAACCACTGTAAAAAATTCAGTTATTGAAACAAAGATCTGAAAATACACATATTGCATCTAGACAGCATGGAGATGTTGGTAATTTGTTTTAACAATGCTTGATTTGCTTCATAAGTGAAAAACTGATGTTTAACTAGTTGAGCTATGTGCAAAGTGAGAAGCCTCAGATGGTTTCACACTGAAGTATTGACACTGGATCTTTGTGCAAAGTTTGGTTTATTTTCAAGCATGAGAAGGCAGATTTTCTAGCAGAAAAAAGACTTGAAGATGCTGCACAGTGATCAGTCATGCTCAGGCAATTTTAAGCAATAAGCTGGAGCACAAGAAGATGTTTACATTACAATGTGGATTCTGCACCAGTTGAGGCTGGAATCTGCAACCTCTGGAACCTAAGTTGGTCATCTACCACTCTGAGCTAAGTGGCAAGTAGCACCTCAACAGTGGCTTCACAAATTGAGTAAGCCATTCACTGTTGTGAAGGAAAGCAGCCATCCATGCATGGAAAGGCAGATTTGAAACCACTGTAAAAAATTCAGTTATTAAGACAAAAATCTGAAAATACACATATTGCATCTAGACAGCATGGAGATCTTGGTAATTTGTTTGTAACAATGATTGATTTGCCAAAATTGCCATTTTTACATTGATTCCAATTGTTCACATTAGAGCAAAATTCAAAATGCTGTCAAAAATTCACTTTTTGAGATCAAAGTCAAAGTCAAAGTCCATTTATTTGTCTCCCTTGGGAGAAATTTGGATTAGAGACAGGGTACTGCTGCTTAAACAGCACGAAACATACAAACAAAAATACATAAAAGACAGTAAAACATTCAGCATCTAAAAAAAATAAAATAAATTTAAAAAAAAAAAACCATACTGGTAACCAGATAGGGACCAATGTGCAAAAAGATATTCGCTCATCTGAGCTGTGCAGTTTGCCATGCCTACTCGTTGAAGTTTAAGTGCTGGTACACATTAGAGTGCTGGTTCACATCAAGGTGCTAGTACACATAAGGGTGCTAATACACCATACACAGAAAAAAAGTACACATTAAGGTGCTAATACACCGTATGCAATACACAGTACACAATACCTGCTTACATTTGCTCATTAATGAGCTTGACTGACAACAGGACAAAGGAATGTTTGTACCGGTTGTGTTTACATAAGGGAACCCTGTACCTTCTCCCTGAGTGCATTAGTGAGTATTTGTTGAAAACATGAGAACTGTCATTTAGAATGTTTTTTACCTGAGTGAGATAAAATTCTGAAAATTGCCACACATCATCTACCATGACTCTAGAATTTTGTCATTTTTTTTCATGAACATTGAATATTTATTTAGCAAGAATTTACATGTATATGTTTACAGTACCGTTTACAGTCAAACATTTTGATGCACTGTAGGCTCAATTTTTGATAAATCAAAAATATGAGACACATTTTTGTAGGACAGTCTGAAGATGCTCTGTAGCAAGTTTGGTGTCAATTGAGCAAAAATTGTGGGAGGAGATAGGTTTAAGAAGTTTTACAGTTTTTGAAAAAAACAGAGTGATGAACTTCATAATTTTTAATAGGTTTAAAGGTATCAAAGTTTCTTCAGTATTGGGGCTACAGTTTGATGAAAGTTGTGAAGTTGTAGCACGTATGGTTGATTTGTTATGAATTTTTAAAGTTTTGAACTTTAGACGCTTGCTGTAGCGCCACCATCAGGACTATTGGCTTGAGTTTACAGCTGAGGATATCTGGCATGAGACTGGACCTTTGTGCAAAGTTTGGTGAGTTTTCACCCATGGAAAGTATGATTTCCTCCGAAGTAGAAAGAAGAAAGAAGAAGACGAAGACGAAGACCTAGGATTACAATAGTGTCCTGGCAGCTTAGCTGCCCGGACCCTAATTATTGCTATAGGCTGCTCAACTATAATCACCTAATTGTGGGGACTGTATAATGATGTTTACTTAGAGAGAACAAAGTGTGGTAGCAAAGCCATAACTTTGTTCCCCCTAATTGTATAATGGGGATGTATTTGCTCCACTTGCTCCCCCGTACAGCAACTGTGAATTATGTTATCGCTGTGATGATATGGTAGTACCCTCTTCAGACTGTCTGACAGACACAGACCCAATTAAACGCCTAGTATATGTATAAAACTGGGTTGTTGCTATTTCAGATTATGGTGCATGCTTAGGTTTCCTTTGATGCATTGTCTTGTTAGAGCTAGATCAAATGAATGATTCATAATTAATATATTACCTGAAGCCTACTTTTTAAAATTTTGTGAGACAGTAATTAAAGGCCTGTCCCATATAGACACCCCTCCCAAATATAGGCCTGTTAATCTCAGTGATGTAATCAAATAATAGCCCGGGCTATTAATGGACGTTTTATGGTGGTCACAAGGACATCAACTGGTTTGTATTGAATGCTGATGTAGGAGCTTTTACATGGTCCTGCATTCTAATAAAACTGCCAGAGGCGGGCATTTATGTCCACTGGGGTTGCCCATATGATACAAGTAATTTCTAAAGGCCATATTGCATTTTCATAGACTCATTTGTATTCAGTGCTCGCATCAGCAGATCCGCAACACAGCCCTCAGGAAACATAAATATAGACTGACTTGTTTTTTCATATGAGGTAAATGATCAGTTAACGCAGAGACACAGGATGAAAACTGGGAATAGATATTTTTCATTTCATGGGAACCTGAAGTTTTGTATCAACGGCACCTTAAAGTTATGGTTAGATTATTTTAAGTGGGGTTGTATGAGACACTTGGACAGTATATTACCTACAGCGGATGTCAGTCAGCATACCCCCAATCTGGAGAAGCAGGCCGACATTGAAGCTAAGCAATCTACTGCTGTGGAGGGGTCAGCAATAAAATGTGTTTTAGCCACCTCCAAAAAGTCTCACCTAAAAAAAAACTGAACTATCCCTTTAAACACGCCCATGATTGTCTGAAACTACTCTATTGTGTTTTTTTGTACATTGTGTGTTGAGCAGTTCAAACCATTTATTGATCTCCTTACATCTCTGTATGTCAGAAGACTGTTCCAGTGTTTCAGTAGAATACAAATTGGGTGTGTTTGACTGTAGGCATACCTGGAGCAGCATATAGGATTCATAATGAATTGTGTTTTATATAGCTAGCGCCTATCAATCAATGAACAAATTAACTTTTTACTTTCCCAACGCAGAATATTCCAACCGATGAGATGTTTGTGGTTTTATTTACAATATTTACCAGCCTCAATCAATAGTAAGTCTGAAAGCATCCAGTTAGCCGGGAGAGGAGTTAAACATGACCCGTCTCAAATGTGTAATTATCTCTGTTAATGAAAATATGTTGGCCCATCAAAGAGGTGCATGACAAAACTTCCTCATGTGGCTAATTCTGATGTGTCCTCAAACGTAATTTGCTGTCGTTGGAACCAGGACAGCCTGGTGAAACAATGTGCTTCATTTCTACTCATCTTAAATATCCAAACTGGCATTTAATTAAAGATAATCAAAGCTGGCTTAACCCAGGAATATGCAATAAAAATCTTGAAAAAACAGATTTTTTAATTAACTGTCGCCTGTGTTTATCCTCCAAGTCACTCTTGACTAATTCTGCTTTTATTTTTACATGCTCATCCAGCAGGATTAAGTTTCCATTCCTCCAAACAGCTCAAGTTTTAAGACTTTGTCACTGCATGACTAGTTGATTGGCGTACCCTCTGATGTCCCTTCCCTCTCCCCTCCAGTGTTGGGTGTCGTTCCTGAGTTCTGCCAGTGTCGAGACCTGGAGCTGGACTGTGACGGCGCACAGCTTCAAGACATCCCGGTGGTGGCGATGAATGTCACCATGATGTGAGTCGAAAATAACCCCATATTTTTTAATTATCTTAAAGCTCCATCAATCTCCAGGAAGCCTCCACCCCTGGCTGTGACTGTCGCAGCATGTGAGAAGCCAGAATTACAGATAAATCTCTAGTGGTGGTGACTAATGCAACCCCTTCACAAGCAGCTGATGAGAAGTGTACGTCCTTCAAAGTCTTGTTAGAGCCAGCATCACGCACTTTGTGAAGTTTCTTACTTCTGCAGTCTTCCATTTAAAGTCTTTAAGTCAAGAGTTTACATTGTAATTGGACGGCATTTTTATCGCGCTTTTCTAGTCTGAGCGACACAACACAACCACCATTCTCACACGCATTCATACACTGGTGGCCAAGGTTAACATGTAACCTGCCACCTGGGGTCCGTTTCACAAAGCAAGTTTAGTGAAAACTCAGAGTCTGTTAACCCTGAAATGAGGGAATCTCTGAGTTTTCCGTTTCAAAAAGGGAGGTAACTCAAACCAGAGAAAGAGGGGTAACTCTAGCCTGTTTCAGAGAGAGAGGTAACTTAAGCTCTTGGTCAGTTACCATAGTAACAGACTCTATAAACCTAACCTGGTCGGGACCAGGTTTTTCTCAATGAACCTCGAGTTTCTCTCTGTCTCCACCCTCTTTCAGAGCCACACACTCCATTTGATTTCCTCATTCATTCAGTCAGCAGGCGAGTTTTGGCGTAGCCTAGTTCTGCCGTCTGTCATTTTAAAAAATCATTAAAGAAATCAGAGTCAGTATATTAGAAGTCCATTAGGCACAGTAGGTGGCAACTTTTTTCACTAACATGGCATGTCCTTTTGATAACAATCCCGTGGATGAAGGTGCAGCATTACTGTGCAGAGAATTAAATATTCGTCGGGAGATGGTTATCAGACCGCGCATAGATGTTCTAGCATTTCCACACAGTTATCTTTTTGAGCGGTACCGTTTCACGTCACAGTCCATCATCTACATACACAACCTAATCCGTCCTTACATTTGCAACATTACCAATCGTAGTCATGCTCTCACATCCCAGCAGATATTGTGTGTTGTGCTGTGTTTCTTTGCAAATGGAAGTTTTTTGTACAATGTCGGAGACACTGAGCACTTGAGTAAGGCAACTGTATGCAGGGCGGTCAGAAAAGTGTGCTTGTTTTACGGGCATCTGCCTTCTTTCTGTTGGCTGAGTAGAAGTCTGTGTTAGTTTGAATAAGCTTAATTATTTAACAGAACATGATATAGATGAGAAGACATTTATGTGTGTGAAAACAGCATTATGTTGGGGATAAAACAACTACACAGTCAAACAGCCACTTAATATTTACTTTACAATGTAAAACATGATCAAAATGAGGTACCCCCATGAGATTATGCCGAGGTCTTACCTGTTTGAACAATGTTTTTATATTTCATCCTAAACTGCTGCCAAGTGCGCTTCTCCCCCGCGGGATTGCACCTAAATGAAATAAATTAATAGGCTACCATTCAAGCAGTTTTCCCCTGTAATATTATTGTGATTGCAAAGGACTACATTTAAACTTATGCATTCTCCCACGCTGTCTCCCTCTCTTTTGCAGCTGCAGCGGTGTTGCACTTCTTTTTGAAAACGTGTGCAAACTCGCCATATGAGCGCATTAAGATTTCTAATTACAGTGGGGTGAAAAACGCAGCCCTCCTCTTCCCCGTTGCCATGGTGACTCACCGAATCGGGGCTCCATTGATGCTGGCTTTTTATAGTTGTGGCGCACGCGCTTAACTCCAGGTGAAACTACTCCAAGTTGATTAAACTGATTCAAATCAGCTGTTCTGGAACCGGAAACTCAGAGTTTCCTATCTCAGAGTAGATCAACTCAGAGTTCAGGATTAGACTCAGAGTTTGTTGAACCTGCTTTGTGAAACAGACCCCTGCTCATCAGAATAAAGAAACATTCACTTGCATGCACACAAAGGTGTTCAATATCTTGCCCAAGGACACTTCAACAAGCAGACTGCAGAGGCCAGAGATCGAACCAGTAATTAGTAGACGACCGCTCCACCTCCTGGAAATACTTTCCAACATTTATGTGACAAGGACATATGACCCTGTAGTTACTAAAAAGTTCGTCAATCATTGATGAAAGTACATCACTCTTTTCAGTCTTTATCCATCATTTAGGCTGTTTTTATGTGGTGTGGAATATTAAAGCTCGGGTAGGCAGTTTTATTTTGGTGTCATTGGGCAAAAATACTATAATAAACTTTGAGCATATTGTAAGTCAAGTGGTCTGAGAGAACACTAACTTCTGCACCTCCTCTTGGCTGTTTTCAGGTTTTAGGTCAGGCAACTGCGAGCTGAACGTGTAGAGCACACACCCCATGTAGGCTGAGTCCTAGGCAGTGGCCTGGGTTCGATTCCAACCTATAGCCCTTTGCTGCTTGCCATCCCTTCTCTCTGCTTCCTGTCCTGTCACTTCCAAGCTGCTGTATAATAAAGGCAATAAACCTCTAAAAAAAAAACATCTTAAAAAAAAAGAAGAAGAAAATCTAGCCTGTGGTGGGAGACTTTGGCCAATCACAGGTCATTTCAGGGAGAGGGTGTTCCAGTTGGCTGTTCCACAAATGCACATGCACATGCCAGATGGTGAGACTTGATTCAGCAGCTGTAATGGTGCGTTCGTTTTGTACTCGGAGGTCGGAAATTCCCAGTTCCCAGTCGGAAGTTTAAACTCGAAGGCACCCTGAGATTGGATTTCAAACTCGAAAACTCGGAGCAAACGCATCAACCCCGACTTACAAATTCAAGATGGCTGCCGGTCACATACATAGTGAGTAAACACTCAGCTAAAGTACTGTTTATAGCAATTTTATCTTATTTGTTTTACATTAGGTCAGCCTCGTCTCCGATGTTCATCAGTTGGAGTGCATGATGGTTTTGAAGCTGTCTATACTTCGAAAGTGCAAGGGCAACAAAGGCTTTCTTGCGGGCGTCCATGTTTTTTTCCGACTTGTCCACCATTGTCAACTAGAATGCAAAAACTCTTGTCAGCTCAGAAGTGACATCATTCCCACTTCCGACCTACAAAATGAACGCAGCATAACAAATCAAATTCAACTAGTGGAGAGCTCCGACTTCCTGCGCATAAGCAAACTTTCTGTTGCTGCTGTTACACAGATTAGACCTGCTGCTGCCGTTGACCACCAAGCTTCCTGTGACTCCCGGTGCTGGTGGAGGTGCACTGGCTGAATTCAACAGCCACTCAGGACGTTGAGAAACATCATTAGACATTAGAGAAAATCGATTTATTGTGTTAGTTTGACCAGACTTTTAAAATACGTGTAAACATGTTAGTCAGTAACAACATGACGAAATCTACATCCAGAGCCGTGCATTTTTGGACAGACGAAGTGTACAGAGCTGTAAAGTTGTCCACCATGGTACCAGTTTGTCACTAGCTAACCATAGCTAACTGGTTTGTCAGTTGTTTGGTCTGTGACGTAAAAGGTCAACTGGAAAAAGGTCTGATACTAACAAGCTGAAAGGGGGCATATCGCCACCTATCGCAGCAGAATCTAACATACTTTAGTCAATAAAATGATTCTCCTGTCTCGTTTGTAAACTGGGACAAGGACAGTGGTCCAATTAGATGGCCTAGTCGAGCTGTAATTGTAGCTCGAATTAACTGTGCAACTACATGTACTGACTGACTAAAGATCTGTCTCTTGTTCTTGTTCTTTATTTATACAGCCCTTTACAACAACCCTTTCGGTGAACCAAAGTGCTTTACAATAGGTGCAAAAAACAATTAAAAATAAATAGAGGCAATAACAACAATAAAAACAATCAAAGCAATGAAAATAATAAAAGCAATAGGAGCAATAAAATACAATAAAATAAAGTAAAACAGAGTAAAAGTAAAAGAGTCACCACACTACTGGGTATTAAAAACCATCCTAAATAAATATGTCTTCAGTCTAGATTTGAAAAGGCCCAGGTCAGAAATGAGGCGCATTTCAACAGGGAGCTTATTCCAAAGCCTGGGAGCAGCGATGGAAAAGGCTTGATCACCCCAGTGTTTGTATTTTGACCTGGGCACTTCCAGCAAAAGTTGGTTTGACGATCTTAGCGCTCTACCAGGTTCCCGAACAGTTAAAAGCTCAGTTAAGTACACTGGGGCGAGACCATGAAGAGCTTTAAAAACAAACAGTAAAATTTTAAAATCAATCCTATACTGGACGGGAAGCCAGTGAAGGGATTTAAGAACAGGAGTGATGTGCTCTCGTCTGTTAGTGCTGGTTAAAAGACGGGCCGCAGCATTTTGCACCAGCTGGAGGCGACCAAGAGAAACCTGGGAGACACCAACATAGAGAGCATTACAGTAATCCAGTCTAGAGCTTATAAGAGCATGGATGGCCATTTCGAGGTTGCGGCGACTTAAAAACATTTTAACTTTGGCCAGGAGACGAAGCTGGAAAAAACTAGTTCGGACAACACTGTTTATTTGTTTGTCGAATTTAAGGTCTGAGTCAAGAAACACTCCCAGATTTCTGACATTTTGACTGAGTGTTGGAAACAAGGTTCCAAAGCCAGCCGTCCCTGTGTCCCCAAACATGATGCACTCTGTTTTACCATCATTAAGGTGAAGAAAATTCTGGGCCAACCACTGCTTAATTTCAGCCACACAGGAAAGCAAAGAACTCTGCGCACTTTGACTGTTTGGCTTCACTGGCAGATAAATTTGCAGATCATCTGCATAACAGTGAAAGGAGAGGTTGTTCCTGGCTATAATTGACCCAAGAGGCAACATATACAAAGAAAAAAGAATAGGGCCAAGAATAGAACCCTGTGGGAGCTGCTGCCCACTCTCCTCCCGGTGAAGTGGTCTATAGCCTCGGTGAGTGAGGCAGAGGGATTGCGAGGTAGGGTAGCTAACTAGTGTTATTTAAGGTCTGATAAACAGAGAGAGGGAGAGCAGGGCAAGGAGGAGCTGAGCGTGTGTGTTGTAAGCAGCTCTACAATGAAAGGAGACTGGAAATAAATCAGTGTTTGGGAAACAATAGGTTACTGTGGAAAGTATGCGCTTATCCCATGGTTGTCTGGTGGGAAGGGCTTAGGACAGAGAGAGGAGAGCTGTTTTCCCCATCTTTAAGGCAATTACCAGGCAGATTGGCCTGTCCTCGTTTACTCTCACAGTGGGCTCAGTTTGTTGTTGTTTTTGCCTAGAATTTTTCAAAGCGCCTGTCTCTCATTGTTAGTTTAATGTGCAGCTGACCAAAGCAAGAGTTTTTTTTTATTCCATCTCAGTGTCGATTCAGAACAAAGGAGCACTCAGTAGAGTTCAGATTTCCTCCATGGGCTGATCTGTCTACGTTGTTATTTGTTACTCTCACAGGCAATATGGCTCTGGGCAGATGACAGAATGGTTTGTGGCCTGCTGGTCATCTCAGGAGATTGGTGATGGGGTCTCAAAAAGCTGTCGTTTTTCTTCCTTTCCTCCTTTTTAGAGCAGGAAATGTCATGTCAGTTTGAGTAATTGCCCACAGGACATGGAATCTGAAAGTTTGACCTATTTGTTGACCAACAGGATATTGTTACAGAGTCACCAGTATCATATAGGTTTCTTCCTTTTTGAATGTCCACACCAAATTTCATGCCAAGCTACTAAAGTATCAATTTGTAGGTCTGTCAGCAGGTCCAGCACTTTGGTTTGCAGACATTTTATGAAGACATTCATGGTCTTGGTTGTATTTTGCACTAAAGCCTCGTTTCCACCAAACACTTTTGGTATGGTACCTTTGGCAAAAGTAGCCCTTTAGACATGGTACCTAGACCCTAGTGTTTCCACTGCAAACAGTACTATTAAATGTGGGCAGGGTTGTTGTCACTCACTGTTCCATCCAGCAGTCCCTGTATTTTCTCATCAGCGGTGACACAGATGGAAGTCTGCAACTTTTTTTATTGTCCACAGACTCGTAAGCCTCACAACCAGCCACAAATCAGCCCTGAGCGAAAGTGACCATCCGCTATTGACCAGTGAACGGACTGCACTGTTTCTAGCTCCACCTTTTAGTACCAGATCTGTGTGCTAGGTACCCCAACAGAGGGGTGACCAAAAAATGGGGACGGTACGCAACGGCTCCATTGGTACCATCCACAACTTTCACAGTTGAAACAGGAAAAAATGCATGGATCAATATTTTACCTATTAAACATGAGTGTATTATTTTCATTGTGAACATGTTAGCACGCTGATTTTACCGTGTAACTCAAAGTACTGCTGTGTCTTTCAGTGTTGTATTGATATTTGAAACACTGACAGAGATCAGTCTTACAGTACAAACAAAAAAATGCTGAGACCTAAAAAAAGTGACTTTTTTATTTTATTTTATTCTGTTAGTGAAGTATGATTTTGTGTAGGAGGCACAGTTTAACCATGATAGTCATTCATAGTGCTGTGCTTTTATTCTGTTTGCGAAAAATGGTGGCAGTGCTGTAATTATATAACTTAACTAACTTATATAGCATAACTTATTTTCCATTAGAGGAATTCCTCCAGGAAATATTTAGAGAGAGTGGGTGTTTGGAAAATCTGAGGGGAAATTAATTACCCAGATTACTGCGTAATATGACTCAGGAAAAAAATGAAAATATAAACAAAACAATAAAAGAAATTTAGTGGGTGATAAATTTTGAAAGTTATTTCCCAGACAGCTATTCATCTGCTTCACAATGCACTGGCTTGTTTACACACAACAGTATTGGCCCACAGGCCCAATTTGTTGACAGAGGACTTCAGTTTTTAGTTCTGTGTAAATGCATCAGCTTGATTTTATATTAAAATATGTCCCTGTTGTCTTCCTCTATTTTCCACACCAGCTCGATTCAATTACAGCTTATCTGTGTGAACTTTAAGCTAAATTGTGTCTGCATCCTGACTGAGGTGGAATTAAATGTCCGGAAAATGAGACAGTAATTATGTCTGAAAATTATGTTTGAAAAAGCGGGGGTCATATGATATTTAAAAACACTTTCTATCTTGTGAGAATAGGAGTTGTTCTGTTTGAGAGAAGTGGGTGTTGGCTTCATGGATACAGAGCTCACCTACTCATGAACAGGTAGTATTTGTCCACTGAAATAAGAAATTCAAAAGATTTAGAGTAATAATGTCAAAATGTTCTTGCATGAGGCCCAGTGTGTTCTGTTCAGAAAGCATGTTTGTTTACTCCTCAGAGTGCCTTAAGTGGTTCATAGAATGTAATGTTCGAGAAAATGGTAGATTGTCCCAAAACTGACCTCTTCCAAGTGCTCGACATGACGTTAGTGATTGAGCCTTTAATCAGCCTGTAATCCGTTAAAAGCTTTGGAGTCAACAGTTGAATCAGACGTTACTGCGGGTCTCTGAGATGATTCAGTGGTATTAAAAAGCTCAAAAGGTTATGGTTAACCATATTTACAGATTTAATTTTCTGAAATTGACTGAGTGTTGTTTGTTTTTATTTCTTAGCTGTGTTTTTATTTAAATGTGATAATATATTCAAGGTTGTGAAATATTTAAAACCTGCCTTGAATGATATCAGACAACTTGTGACACTTACATCCACTCTGCTCGATTTCAGTGGGGGAGAGGTATTGGATTTTCCATAACTAATCACTTGAGAACAATGTATTCGCCTGAATCTAACACCATTTTGAGTCCCAACTGACGTGAAGCCATGCCAACATACCTGTTTTGCAGCCCTTTTAAGTTTGGAGTGGAGCACTCGCCATTGTTGTTAATACTAATACTCATTAGTTTTGGAGCGCCACTTGAGCCTAAGTCCTGCACATCGAGCTGTTTGGCTAATTGAGTCCCACTGCGGCACTCATTGGTTGTTTGTTATTTTAACCGGGAAACTACTGTTTCATGTCACGACACTCGACAATCAGTCAACTTGAACTCAGTGGAGAGGACAGATTAAAAATTCAGGACCCAGGCAATATCTGCCTACCTTATTCAATTCAAAGACTGTTTTTAATTAGAAAACCTTGACATAAAAAAGGGGGGATACCTTCGGATCTATAACCTCTTGTCTTTTGTGACTAACATGTTAGGACATGTTAAGCGAGAAAGGAGGAAAGAGAGGGGGGGATGACATGCAGCAAAGGGCTGTAGGCTGGAATCTAATTCACAGTCTCTGCAGCAAGGAGATTGCTTTTGTACGTGGGACACCCGCTCTACTCACTAAGCTACTGGGCGCTCCAGATTATTGGTATTTTAAACGTGAATGTTGAAATGTTGAATAGATCTTGTCATTCTCAGCCTTGATAATCCCATTATTAGAAACCTAAACAATGTAAATCCATATGTCGAAATGATAACCTTTACAGCCTGAAGTGATTCGCTGTTCAAATGCAGCAGAACTGAATCATGATATATTGTTAACAGTGAAAACTTTGTGTTATATTCTTTCTCTTTCCATCCCTCAGGTCTCTACAAAGGAACCATCTTCAGAAACTGAAAGCAAACACATTCTTCAAGTACCAGAGCCTTCAGAAACTGTGAGTCTCCCATGAATTGTGGATTGCATTTTAGTTTAAAATATATAATTTTAAACGGCTTTGTCACATATGATATTTTGCCACATTTTTATGACTGTCCTCCAACTTGTTCTTTCTTTGTTGATCTGTCCTTTTATTCAGTTTTCTTTCTTGCTCTGAAAAGCACAATATATAATAATATGTATTATTAATATGCGTGGTAGCTTTCACTGTTCATTCAGTAAAGCATAATGTCTTCATGTAATACCAAAGAACTGAGATAATGATCATCCTGTGAGTGACAAATACAACAAAAGAGTTTCACAACTATGAAGGTGATAAGTGTATAAAGCTATGAGGACTGCTGGGAATGCAGACAGAAGCGATTGTTCGCTTCTGCGAACGGATTCATTCATTGCAGACTCAACCTCACACAGTGCCACGGACTGTGGCGGCAGGAAAATTTGGTCTCAGCCTCTGCCAGGAGCCATTTGGCTGTGTCAAACTGTCAGCCTTCAGCTGCTCTGAGGGTTTGACTAGATTGAAAACTTCCCTGAGATGTGCATAAATAAATATCACGGTCAAAGCCAGGTTTGTAAAATACACAGAGACAAAACACAGCTGTCGATCGGGACTCGTTGATCTCACAATGTGTGCTGTAAAAGATGCCAGGTGTTTAACAGGCCATGCATGTATTATCGGCTTTTTAGATGGTAATTTCCAAAAAAAACCAAAAATCTCCAAATAAGAACATTTCTTCCTGGAAACAAAGTTTTTCACTCAAAGTACCAATCGTAAGCAGTGCGTGGGTGTCTGTGTGTGTGTGTGTACTTGTACTTGCTGCATAATGAGGACCAAAACAGACCTTTAACCTACAGAGCGAGGACAATTTTGGAAAGTGAGGACATGTTGGCGGGTCCCCACTTCAAAGGCCTGTTTGAAGGTTAAGCTTTGGTTTTAAGGTGCAGGTTAGAATTAGGTTTAGGTTAGGGTAAGAGTTAGGGTTGGGGTTAGGCATAGTTCTGATGGTTAAAGTTAGGGTAATGTGGGATTTATACTTCTGCATTGAATTGATGCTGTACCTACAGCATAGACTCTGCTTCGACAAGATTCTACGCCGTACCCTACGCCATAGCCTGACGTGCACCTCCCCAGAAATGTAACTGCACATTGCTGCGACACAGAAACCATTTCCCTCAGTGGAAACAAAGCTTTTATTTACTTTTTTTTTCACAGATAAGAAACAACAAATTGTGAAGACAATAAAGCCTCCACTAAATAGCATCTAAAGTCTTGTGTGTGATTTATCCTGGCTTCATATGAGCAGAGGAAATCTCCACTAGTCGCTAGGCTAATTTATACAATGTAAAATGCCATAGGCTTGTGCAATAATGTTAGCATGTTGTATTTGTTTGGAAAACGTGTTTAGTATAAGACAGTTGTTTTGTCAGTGAACCTTGTGAGTTGCAATGGAGCCGAATTTTGTAACGTTAGCTTTGTTAAATGTTGCTGTTGTCCCTGGTTTCATATCAGTAGATAGAAATCCACTAGCCGGTACGCTAGCATATACAATGTAAAATGCCATAAGCTTATGCTAAAAACATTAGCATTTTGTATTTGGGGGGGAAATGTGTCCAGATAAAGACAAGTGCTTTGTCTGTGAATGCTGTGAGTTGTAGTGAAGCTGATTTGTGTACTTGTGTTTGAAACTGTTGCTATTAAGCCATGTTTAATGTGTGTTTAATGTGTGTTTTGAGTCAATTAAACTTTGCAACATTTTACAGAAACCCACTGCTGACTAGTGTTTTGAAGGTGTAACTGCAGAGTGACACAGACACACCATCACACAAGTATAAATGCTCGTGGGCTTCCTAGCGCTTTCCTAGGAATTTCTAGGAAATTCATTATGCCATTGAGGATCTTCACAAAGATAGCAGTAGAAGAGTGTGTGTGTGTGTGTATGTGTGTGTGTGTGTGTGTGTGTTTGTTTCATTAAACCAACAGCCTCAGGGGTAAATGTGGAATTCAAATGATTCACAGACTGTTTTGTGCTTTTGTTAAACAGATATCTTCAGCACAACAGAATTCAAGATGTCAGTCCTGGCGCGTTCAGAGGACTGTATAACCTAACAAGATTGTAAGTTTGTTCAGTTTTGTTACACATACTATTCAGTAATAAAGCACTCAATATATATTGTACTTAGTGGCGCTACAGAGTCAAAGTAGGTTTTCACATCCAAGTAATTTGCTTTGGTGTGTATGTGCATAACAATATAATAAGAGAAAATAAGAAGAAAACATGCACTACAAAAGTCAAGGAACATAGATTAAGAATTGAAAAAATATGAGCAAACACTATAGAAATATGTGCTATATATGTTTTAAAATGAAAGAGCCAAAGCGATTTACAAGTTTTGTGCAGGAATGTGCCAAATACCAACCAGATGGCACTACCATGTTCTCTACGTACAAAAAAGGAAGCAACTTATTAGTTCAGGTTACTGAATATTTTGGCACCAGCTCTTTCATTCATGCTTCACAGTCACTGGCTTATTCACAGCTGAGTGGCTCAACTGTCGAGTAAAGTCCAATCATATTCCAGTAACATGGCAAAGATAACCCTACAGCTCTCACTGTGACTTAGTTATTGTGTCATGCACATGTACGTGTCCAACCTACACTGACTCTACAAGAGCAAATGGCGGTGCAGCTGCCAACGTCCTTCTTGTTTAGTGTATTTTATATTACTGTTGAATTAATTACCATTTAACGTTCATTGAATTGATTAAGGGGAAATTAAGTCTCTAAGTAGAAGCCTAATTGCTCCCTCAGAGAGCAGTCTTTTTATATATATATATTCACCTCCATTACTATTTTCTATAAATAGTCAGTTCCTTGGTGTAAGTGCTTCTGACTGACATGTTATTTAAATAAAGCATTATAGAGAACAGACAGAACAAAGAGAGGCCACATAGGAAGTGTGAAGACTAATGAGTACTAACTAAATGTTAATACCAGTGGGGTGTCCCATTACGCATCACTGACAGTTGGAAGGTATTCTTAGAAACATTCATATTCTTCTCAGGTTCATACTTGTATTAAAGGTTTCTACTAGAACATGTTTGAATACTTTTATGGTTAAAAGCATTTTAATTTCCTCATACTGTCTGTGTAAATAAATTTAGAATGAAATGGGTGAGAATTCTGCAGTTATTGAAAGGATCCTTAATAAAAGACCAAACACAAATGATTTCTATATGAAAACGTTCAATTGTATATCGACTGCCATCCATTCAAGCGTATCCAAAAAGTTCTGTCAGGCCAAATGCACCAAAGGGGGTTATAAATAGTTCGCCCAAAAGAGCACCTAAGCGAACACCATTCCTTTATTTGTATCGCCGTCTGCTGTAACCCTCCAACATTCCAGCTCGACACCATAGCTCCCAGGGGGTCAAAGAGCATTTCCCAGCTTCTCTAGCCTTGGTGTCTCCGTGCCGTCACTGCAGCCAGGAAATGACTGTAGTGCCTGTACACATAACGACATTTTCTAGCGCGAAAAATCCCCAATAGAAGCTTCAAAACACAACTAAACATGTTCCAGCAGGACTATGATCTGAAATTGAGGAGAACTTTACAACATCAGCAACCAAGATTACGTGTTTCATTGATGTTCACATGTAGCTACATGTAGCAGTGTAGGCTATGTAGTGTGAGCACTTGCTGTAAAGTACCCGGCGCAAATGACCATATAAAAAAATCCTGATGTCAGCTTGTAGCCACAGTACATAAAGAAAGTTGTAAACAGAGTATTCAGAGTGGTCTGAAGCCTGAGGTTTTTGCTTACTTTTACATATGTTTAGCACATTAATTGAAACTTTGGCCACGTTTTATTTTAACTTCCGACAGAAAATAAGGACATGCATAAAAGGTCCTGTTTAAGACAACACTGTTTAGTAAATCAGGCTTATTTTCAATTTTTTTTTATTTTTTTTTTTTAAAAGATATTTTTCTGGGCATTTTAGCCTTTAATTGACAGGACAGTCTAGCTTGAAAGGGGGAGAGAGAGAGAGGGAATGACATGCAGCAAAGGGCCACAGACCGGAGTTGAACCCGGGCCGCTGCGGAAACAGCCTTGTACATGGGGCAACTGCTCTATCCACTAAGCCACCAACGCCCCGCTTATTTTCAAAATTAATATCACTACTGCATTACTGTGTCCTCCTGAGACCACATTTTGGGTTTACTTGACCTTATACTCCATTCTACTGAACTTAGACCTGTTGTCCTTGTTCTAGGACACTTTTTATGCCATCTAGTGGTAGTAAGAGCACATTACACTAATCCATGTCAAAACAAGATGGATCTCTGCCAAGTCAGTCTGCAGCCAATCCTGACATTAAAGTGGACAAGGTCCAAAATCAGATTACATTTTATGGTCGAAACTTATTTATTTGTGATTAAAAATGTTTGTAGTTTTGTATGACAACAAATTTGACGATTTTATTGAATCAAACCATTTTAGCAGCAGTAACAAGCTAAGACACTGTTAATAAGGACGTACTTGTTGGGAAGACATTGGGACTTTATTACCGTCTCGTTTAAGGACATTGGGACTTTATTATTGTTGAATATGTTTAGTTTTAATACTTATCGGGTCCTACTGATCCCAAATATATATAAAGTTCATGTCTCAGGAGGATGTATTACTTTTCAGTATGTATTGTCTTAAAATTATAGAAAAAGGAAATATTTTAACAATTGCTAAAAGATGTATAGATATATAAACAGGATAGTGTGTACACATATCACTAAAAATAAATATACGTTTAATTTTATCGCAGCTAATACAGCAAAAAACGATGAAGCTTGATTATTATGCACATACATTATAAGAAACACAATAAGTTCCAACTATGAAAAAAAGCTATAAACTATTTAAAAAAAAGTGCTGTTTGGTGCTGAGCTGCAAAAACAAAAGATTGCACGTTTACCTTGGTCACCTTGTCTCCTCTCTTAGATATCTGAGCTATAACAGGATATCTGTCCTGATGCCAGGGGTTTTCCAGGACCTGCACAAGCTGGAGTGGTTGTATGTTTGTTCTCTACTGAGACAAAGTTCTGCAGAAACAGAATATAAAATGCTGCATGCATAGTGTATTAGGGTGTTTTACTTTCTGTAGATATTGGTTTGACCTTTGCAGAGAAGTCCAGTTTTGTGATAAATAATTCCTACTGATAAAACAGATTTTGTTCTCTTCTTGCTTGCATTGTTGTAATAGCCAATACATCACACATACCTCTATTGATTTAGTTTCTTCTGCATTAGTATTCTGCAAATAAGGCTGAGACTGTATCCTGTTTTTTGTTGTAGGATCTTAGAAAACAACAATATCCATCAGGTATCCCCCATGACCTTCTCAGGACTGAACTCCCTTGTTTTACTGTGAGTTTTTATTTAATACTTGATGCCTCAGTTGTCAAAGCTTTTTCCTGTTTTTGTTTTGCTTTGCTGTGACTCAAATCATTAAACGCTCTGGTTCTTAGAGCTTTTGTTGATCTGCTCAAATTGAATGAGTGTTCCTCCTTTGAACACTTAAGGGAAATGCACTGAACCTTGTTATAAAATTGTATCTCGCTGATTGACAGGGTTTTGTTGAACAACTCTTTGACAAATCTGGATGACATCTGTCGGGAAATGCCACGATTAAACTGGCTGTAAGTAGGATGTCAAAAAAAAAATCAAAAGCTCTTCTGTCATGAAAGTGACATTTCTTTTGATAAAGGTTTACTGCCTGCGTGTGTGCATGTGGTATGTGTCTGATATTTCCTGTGGGTGGGTGCATTTCCTGTGTGTTCTTGCAGGGATTTGGAGGGGAACCTAATTGAAACCATTGGAAATGTCTCATTCTGCTCATGCAGTATGCTGACAGTTCTGTGAGTATAAATTTACATAATTGAATCCATGGCAAAGGGAAAGTTTTTGCTTTTAAAATTTTTACTTTTTTTTTTTTTCCCCTGGTTTCTGTGAGATGCATCCAAATCAGCCTCAGCTTCTCAAAGTTTCTTGAACCTGTGCATGGAATCAGTGCTGGCACTTCATTAGATGTGAATACAAATGTCAAAAAGTAGTAATATAATTATTTTTTGTATTTGTTGCCTCTCTCCAGGGTTTTACAGCAGAACAGGATCAGCTATGTACACGAACAGGCTTTCTCAGTCCTCAGAAAGCTTGGAGAATTGTAAGTTCATTTTGTTTGATTGTACAAACAAACTGTAGGAAGAAATGTTACAACTTTTAGGATTGTACCAGAAAGAAGCTGAAGTGATGCAATTTAAATGTGCATCATTCTGAAGATGTACAGCACATGGTGACTTTAGAAATACCAAACCTGCTAAAGAGAAGGAAATTAGATCAACAGCATGAAGAAATACAGTAAATCACGGTCATAAGAGAGATCTTTTGGAATAACTGGCTTCATTTTTTTCCAAAAATGATATTGAATGGCATCATTTAAACACTCACAGTCTATGCTCGAAAAGTATGTGAGCTTTAAGATGCAGTAACTTCCTGTCTAAGCAGTTAAAACTTCAAATATTGCTGCAAGCAAAAACTGACACCATTCAAAAACACGACTCTAATAATCTCACATTTGGACTGAATGCTTCATTGAGCAAATATATTTTGTAGATGGAGGCCATCTTTTCCTCTGTGCCCCGTTAGCTGTGAGCTCTGAGGATGGTTATTAGTGTCTTTGTTTTTTCGTGTTTCAGTGAGTTGGTTTGTTTATGCAGCACTTTGTTTCAGACTTTCCTCTGAATTTCTTGGCAGATTACAGATGTATTTGTGGCGCCTACGGGTTGATGATATGTTTTGGTGATCAGGTCAAAATTTCCCCTTGACCAGGGGCCGTATTCACAAAGCTTCCTATTACAGTTTTCCCCATAAAGTTAAGACTAGGTCCTTGTAAAGATAAAAGTTATTCACAGAGCATCTCAGACCTTAGAAGAGCTCTTAAAGTGAAAAACTATTAGAAGTAGGGAGGAGGACTTTAAGAGTTTCTTAAGCAGAGGAGAAAATGATGGAAATGCATAGAGGCAGGAGGAATATTCTCCAAATGCTGGATGACCGTATTTAAATGAAATACTTAAGATTAGATTGTGCAGGGATGATGTGTGAGGTTGATCTTATTAGGGATACACACACATTTCCTACTTAAAGGATAACTTCGGTATTTTTCAACCTGGGCCCTATTTCCCCATGTGTATGTGTGCGTATGATTCATAGGTACAACTCGTTTTAAAATTGGTTCAGTATTGAGGGAGGCGGATGCAGCAGCTGGCAGCCGCGAGGTAGATATGGGGGCAAATGTGTCCCGTATAAGTTTGCGCATTAAAAGTGCTTTTTTTCGCCGCTGTCCGGTTCAGATCGCCAGTGCTATCTCTGTAAATAGCATACTAAGCGTTTCCCTGACCCTTCACCTCCTGTGGGCTGTGTGTGACGTCATCTCACGAGAGCTTTGCTTGTTGCCGGAAGAAAACAGGGTACGATATATACAAGGGCAAAGTATGCAACAGTAAATGTGCATCTCGGAGACATTTCTAGGTATCAGTATTACATGCATAAAGACATATTAGTTATACTTACTTGATGGATAGTTGACCATTTGGTCCCTGTGGTTTTGGCCGCCTCCTCCAATTTATATTGGAAACATGAAAAAAGGTATCAAGCACTGCCCTGTTGATCAGAGGGGGGAAATCCTCTAACGAAGTTACACAGCGTTTGGTAGTTTCTGTATCATCCCAGGACACATTGAGACCATGAATACTGGGCAACAGGTCCCACTCGTTGCAACACAGACATTCTTCCTCTGTGGGCATGGAGTCACAGCAACCACAGGAGCACCACCAGTCCTCAGAGATTCGCATTCGTGCAGCCGCTGCTTCACCCTCGTCTGCTCGTTGGCCCTCTCTCTCTATCCTCGTCTGCTCTTCAGTTTGTAGGAGCTCCTCGTCCGTATACTCAGGCTCAAATAAGTACGGGCGGCCATCGTAATAAAAGGGCTCATCTTCATTCTCGAAATCGGGTAAATATGCATCCATGATACTGATGCAGTAAAACTCTCAACTGTACTCCGGGACAACCTGAACCGGTCAGTGGCGAAAAAAAGCACTTTTAATGCGCAAACTTATATGGGACGCATTTGGCCCCGTTACCATTTTAGCTCGTTTTGCGGCTCCCGGTTGCATCTGCCTCCCTCTATACTGAACCAATTTTAAAACGAGTTGTACCTATGAATCATACGCACACATACACATGGGGAAATAGGGCCCAGGTTGAAAAATACCGAAATTATCTTTTAACGCCATATCACTGTAACGCTAGAAATGAAATGATCCCAACAGAAAACTGGAAAACTGGAAAACAGCAACAGTGCAGCAGTGATGACTTGGGTCTGTCTCAACCTTCCATCAGCAAAGTGATCACATTAACAATGACAACACTTTCACAGTCAGCAGTTGTTTACACCTTGCAGGCTCACAAAAGGTTGTGTCTCTGACAACCAATCACATCTGTTAAAAGAATGCATCACACCTAGCAACAGGGTCAACCACACCTCCTCACTAGGATAAAACTTTCCGTCCCTTCCTTGCTCAGAGAACTTTCCTAAATCACTCCTAAGCTAGGACTCCTTACTAAATAAATTCAAGGCTAAGATAGGAGCTCTCTTAGAGTGTTCTCAGAACTCCCAGATTCAGAACACCAAAGCTTCTTAAAATCTACAGTTAGGATTTCTGTTAAATGTTTTATGACTCTTCATGGTCTCCAAAGGATGAAGTCTGCTGGTTTTTGCAACTGATTGTGTAAAACACATACATGCTTCCCAGAGGAGAAACCATGGCCAATTTATACACCCACTGAGGGGGATTTATAAAGCAGATGTTAGCAGCTACCTCATAGAAGAAGAACAGCGGCTAAAAATGTCCACAAATATGGAAAACAATGAGTTGTGCAAGCTCCTTACCATCCGAGCAGAGGGCAAGATAAACCGCCATGTAACAGCGAAGGTAAATGATTGTTTTCGCCATGTCAGTGGCATTGTAATTGTTTATAAAGCACTGCTGAAGCGTATGTTATATTACACAAGAAGCCGATGCTATTGTGTGTGACATCAGGTCCATCACACCTCTTTTGGTTTCATGATGCTGACATGCTATTTAAAATCATACACTGGAGTGGCATGATGCTGCTGTTGTTGGGTTCTCTGTAGAAATGCAAAGGAGGCATAAAGACAGGACTTAGTAGCGACCCCTATAGCACAATCGCTGCAAAAAAGGGGCTACAGACAAAGAAGGTTGATGTTTTTGGCCATTTAAAGTTTTAAGATGTTAAGCACAACTTGCACACATGCACCACATTTTACGTACAAGTGCTCAATGTATCAATGAGCCATGTCAGTTTTGCTTTCTTTGATTTATGAATGAGTAGTCAGTGAGACCTTGAACCTATCTGCTGACTTTGTTTGCTGTTGCTGTTAAAATCATCCCGGCACTTTTAGATAAGAAAAAAGAAAAAAAAACAAGATGACATTTCGGATATTGTACATCACCATGCCAAAGCATTGCTACAGTTGTAGTGTGAAACATCCAGGTGTACTGTGAACTTGAGCATCAATGCTACTACTCCATATCAGGGCTTTTCTTATTGGTATACTTCAGAAGACTGAACTCTCTTCAGTACGGCCTTCTAACTGACTCATAAACACAGAGGTTAAGAGTTATAAGAGATGCTCACAGATCTTTTCTTTCTTCCTTTGATGTCATCGCACTCCTGAGCATTGCACAAAGAGTCTTTCTGTGATCTTTTCAAAGTGCTGTGTTTCTTTCATTTTCTGTGCTGTACTGTTGGCGACAAAATTCTTTACAAACACTTTTGTAGATGATAAAAGCCTCATGAGTCTTAACAACTCCTCTGAAATCTTTATTGATTTAGATTCTTTTGCTTCAGTGGACCTCTGTGGAACAGTTTGGAGAGATTTTTAGGACAGACATGAGCTGTAAAATTTGACTTTTGCTACCATTAACAGCAGTCGATATCTTGGAGGCTCACATACTTTCAAAGGCAAGACTGTGGATGCTTAAGCTGTCTTAAGAAGACTGAGATGAGTGTCAGAAAACATTTTTGTCTTATAAATGTGATCGTGTTGAATTTTGTAATATTCTGTACTTTTTAAAGCCAACAAATCCCTTGAAAAGAACAAAACCAACAATGAATTCATCCTACTAACAGGTGTAGCTAAAGCCTTCCTAAATTCCTCTGTGGCATATCGAGCTCCAGTGTTGTCTAAGAGCAGTTAAAAACTCATAAGTGAGCACACACTGTAAATGCATACTTGTGCCCAAATTGTGTAGTTATCTGCGGCTGAAAATGGTCCACAAAAATGCACCATTTACTCCTATTTAACACCATCTACTGTAAGAACAGCAGAGTCGAGCTGTTTTGAGAAATTAATGAACATTTTTATGCCTCTGCGCTGGCGATAGCCGTGGCTGGAGGCATTATGTTCTGGGGTTGTCGTCTTGTGAACATGATATCCCCAGAACAGCTTCAGGGAATTTCTTCAACTTTGGCACAAACATCCACTTGGACTCATTGATGAACTGGTTAGATTTTTGTGGTCATAGATCAAAGGCCAAGGTCACTGTGACCTTGTCTTTCTTATTCTTGGGAGCGCTATATCTCAAGAACACCATAAGGGAATTTTTTTCATATTTGGCACAAACATCCTCATGGACTCAACCATGACCTGATTAGATTTTGGTGGTCAGTGGTCAAGATCACCGTGACCTTGCATCTGTCTCATTCTCGTGAACATGATGGAGTTTCTTAAATTTGACACAAACATGCACTTTGATTTAACTATGAACTGATTAGAATTTGAAGGTCAAGGTCACTGTAACCTTGCATCCATCTCATTCCTGTAAATGCAATATCTCAGGAAGGCCTTGAGGGAGCTTCCCCAGATTTGGCACAAACATCCACTTGGACTCAAGGATGATCTGATTTGAATCTAAATCTGATTTGATAGAATTTGTTGGACAAAGGTCAAGGTCATTGTAACCTCACAAAGCCTGTTTTTCTCCATAACTCAATAATTCATATGCTAACTTTGACAAAATTTCACTCAAATGTCTAAGAGGACAAAATTATGAAGTGATGATATTTTATATCCAAAAGGTCAACTTCACTGTGACATCATAATATTTTGCAAAAACACTTTTCTGGCCATCATTCAAAGTCATATCTCAGGAACAGATCATGATAAGGTGCAAATTGACTGGTTTGCAGAGGCATAAGCCAGCGAGGCAGTATTTCTGGTTGAAAAATTAAACTATAAATTTGTGACCCATTTAAAGACCTACTTGATAAATATAAACTAGATGTGCTAGTGTACTAGATTTACTGCCAGTAGGAACAACTGAGCTTGGGGTTGAGAGCCACAACCAAGGTGGGTAAGTTGTTAAGTATGGAGAAACTAACGTGGTTGGTTTTGGTCTTTTCATGAGATTTGTTGACAATAAGAATAATATATAACAACGTAGGCCCTTTTCCTCATATTAATGCTTTGAACTGCAGCAAGTGGTGTCAAAAAGAAATTAGTTAAAAAGAAAAAAGAGCACATAAAGTTAATGGAGCTCACTTGCATCTTTATCACTTCAGATATTGTAGTTACAGTGATCTCCAGCCCGTTTATCCTTCACCTAGAAGTGATGAACTGCACACTGCATATATCCTCAGCAGGCCTTCATGCCGTGCAGCCACGACATGTTCCTGAGAGCTAAGACTCTAACCTTTTATCGACTGTAAAAGTTCATGTTTTCCTGGAGCTCAGTTAGCACTAGATGTCTCCATTTACACATATATCCCACAGCTGAATACAACAAGTTCATGTACAGTACAGGCTATTGTGACTAATGTAATCTGTGGGTGCATCACAAAGGTTAATCACATTATAAAGTCATAGACAGTATTTATTGCATGTTTGAGTGTGCATGTCATCTGTTAGGAACCGGTCATCAATATTTCTTTGTTGTTTTGTGTTTTTGGGGAACTGATGTGGATTTGTCTTGGCGCGCAGGGATCTATCCAACAACAGACTGGTGGCAATCCCTCCCAATCTCTTTGTCTTACTCGGGGATTTGCTTCAACTGTGAGTTATGTTGACACAAACACACAGAGATTTACAGTTCTGTATGCAAGCATAGCTGTTCCATAAATATATAACAGGGTTTATCTTTTGGTGCTGTCAGGGAATGACAATAGAGTTGTCAATAGGTGTGACAGATATAATTTCAATGTGATTTGTAAAGACAAAGTACACTAGATTAGTACTAACCACTGTGACCAAAACGTTGCATTTTCTGGTGGCTGCTTCACAATAAAAGCCACCTTGTGTTTCCCCCAGGTGAATGATTTTAATGTGGCACAGCATTAACCTCAAGCTGGGGTAGGCAGAAATCCGTTAAAGGCAAAAAAAGAATTTGCACAATTCGAGAATACTCCTTCCTTCTGCAGCTTAGTCCTCTCCCCATTCTGTCCTAAACCCCTCCCACCAGACAACCATGGGCATATGCACAAGCTTCGTCGTGCAACCCACGGTATCACATAAGCTGATTTATGATTTAAAGTTGAAGGCAGGACATTCACTCAGCCCCTACTTGCCCTGCTCTTTCTCTCTGTGTTTATCAGACCACAGATGAGACAAAAATCAGGTCACCCCTTCGCCTCGCTCCCCACCACTGTGGACTGCTCTCCCAGGAGGAGAGCAAGTCACAGCTTGGGAGAGAAACCTTCAGTTGGCAGCTGAGCAACTTGTATTTGGAAAGCTCAAATCCCCCAGCGCTGGATGTCACAGTGGGCTGGGTTGTGCTGGCTGGATTCAGGTTGCTGCCGCTGCTGACTGGGGGTCAGTCTCCAGGACTGCTGCCTGCTCTCCTCCTGACATGATGGTCTGTAGCATCAGGGAGTGAGGCGGAGCAGACACAGTGATTTGAGGCTCTTGCTAACGTTAGCTACAGAATTGTGAACTTAAAGCCGCAGCCATTAGCCTTTAGCTTTGGTTAGCAGAAGGCTAAACTGTTAGCAACATTTTCTCTCCATTACTGAAACACTTCGTTGATATTGACATGTGTTTAGTTTTTTTATTGTCAGACTCTTTTAGACTCTTTTTGATAAGTCCGTCTACCTGTTTTGGGTTGCTTTGCAGTGTAGGCAGTTGTTGCCAATTCTAATAGCATCTTTCTCTGCAGGATTTTCTGTCATTGAATCAGACCTTCACCAAAGGCACGTGCACGCACAGCTACATGTTTTAGAACAGCTGATAGGAACGTCCTGTCTCTGGAATAACCTGTGATTGGCTCAAGTCTCCGTCACGGGCTACATTTTCTAAACACTAAAACAGAGCCTCGAGGATGAGCAGAAGTCTAGTGCTCTCTCAAACCATTTGAATTATAATATGCTCAGAGTTTATGGTGGGATTTTGCCTGCCTACCCCAGATTTAATGTGTTGGAAAGATAGTGAACAGTAAACAAGTGTGGCTGTTAACAATGAGATAAGAGTTCCTGTGAATCCCTTGTTCTTCAACAGGCAATGTGAATCCGAATCTGATCTTCAGGATTATAACATTAAAGGGGAACACCGCCTAAATTAAGATTCAAATCTGTTATTTTCATGGCTTGGGAAAGTTCAATTAATATTTGTGAACATAAGTTACTATCTCTTAAAGGCAGACACCAGAGAAATAAGTCTCAAACTTGTGATGTCATGGGGTGTGAAGTCTGGACCTGCTCCATGGACAATCAATGGGAGACTGATTTTGTGGACCCACAGAATGTTTGTTCTCTTTTTATATACAAATGAGCTTTATTCTATTGTGGTATTGTCAGTTCTGAAACAGAAAATATTCCCATATACTCACATACACCTGGGTGCTCTCAGTGTCATTTAGAACATCTTTCCCAATTCATTGTCTGAGGAGCAGCTCCAGACTTTATACCCTATGACATCACAAATTTGAGTTTTAGCACTCTAGTTTTTGGAAATTTGGAGAGTTTTTCATGTTTACTGATACTGTCCTGCCCTGTTTCCACATGAACACATAACAGTTTTACCAGAGATGTATCTATAAGGACTTGGTTGTACTTTCGATGTCATGGCGGATAAAGAAGGAGCACCATCTAAAAGAAAAAGAAAAAGAACAGAACTTGTTAGACTTTGTTTCACTTAAATATATGACGACATGGAAGTTAAAAGCAAGCTAAACGGGCTTTAGACCATAGGAATAACATGTCTGAATTTTGAAAATGGCCATTGTTTCCCTTTAAGTAGTGAGCAGCCAATGCACTGAGTCTCAGCAGCGTGGTGGGTGGATAACAAGATCTCAGTTAAAGAGGAATAATTTAAGGACTCATCTTCAGACATGCAGCAGAAGGTGGTACAATGTAGTTGTGGGAGTTGAAAGAAACCGTCCACATGCATGACAAAAAATTTCACACAGAAATTGTCAAATAATAAATGGGATTCATTTCCATGTTATCTGGCTGAAAGTTTCTCATTTTTATCTTCTAGGAATATATCATACAATCCCATCGTGGAGCTCCAAGTTGACCACTTCGACAAGCTGTATAAACTGAAGTCACTGTAAGTATATGTTGCACGTCCAATTAAACACTAAGCCTGTTGTGTGTTGAGACATTTGAGCCCTCCTGTTATAGCCTGTGCCTGAATGTGCAGCAGATATAGGCTACAAATACAGTGAATGATGAACCTGGATTGCGGTGATAGAAGGAGCTTATTATTCTCACAGTCATGTCCCACTTCTGAGGGTCAATCCTGAGATCACACATAAGTCAAAGACTGTATTAACAAATGAAAGAAAACGTATTTGGGCTTTGAGAAATGGTTCTCATCTAGTCCTTGAAAATCTATTTGGTGAAGAAAATGTGTGGTGAAAATAGCCACTGTGCTTTTGAAGAGTTTTGCAGTTAAGTTATAAATCAATATACTCTGTGTGTGTGTGTGTGTGTGTGTGTGTGGCACCTGACTAAGACTCAGTCAATATGTCTTTATATTTCCCAGGAGCATAGAAGGGATAGAAATTGGAAACATACAACGGCGAATGTTTGAACCTCTCAAATACTTGACCCATATGTAAGTACTCCATGGCCATGCTCTGTCAGTTAATCTGGACTGTATGTTGACTGTAGACCTTCCACGTGTATTTTTTAGCGGTGAGTCCTTATTGAGACTGTCAGGCTTCTCTTTCAACTGTGATTAAATCAGCCTCAGTGTTATTCAACTTCTCTGTGGGTAAAAAAGCTCAAGACACACCTGCAGTTCCTGGAAAAGATGCAACAGAGACAAAACATCTGCCCTTTCAGTCGCGTATACAGTCACAGAATCTCTTTAAGGCTCTTTATTCTGTAGAGTTTCATTCAAGTTCCAGTAAGATACAGTTTGTTTGGCTCAAATACAATTTCTGTAATCTTTTATGGGCAGATCACCCAAATTGCAAAATACATAATTTCTCACTCAACCTTTATCTGGAGTCTGTTCAGCCTTGCAGCTTTTGTCTCTGAGATTTCTGCCTCTGCAGCAACACAATACAAGTTCATTGAAATTCCCTTGTGGTGCTCACAGCATTGAAAAAGGAGAGATTTTCTAAAGCAGATAAGAGAAACAGCATGCCTGTTAGTGTGGGTAATCCACAGATAAAGTTGCAGACTGTTTCAGTCAGGACTATTTCTGTCGTAGCAGGAAAACTGCTCACTGTGAGGTGTGTGGAGTAACTGGAACAGTGTTTCTGGAAGGACACATTGCTGTTCAGGTTTTAGCCACTGTAGGTCATAGATATCACATACAGTAGATACCTCGTTGACGGCTTCGGCCCGTTTCAGCGATGCGTCAGCATTGCCGCCATCTTGGGGAGGTCACTGCTAGCTGGCTAGTACTGTTGTGTATGGAGGTAAATCTTCAGCAAACTTGGCGTGCTCACTCAAAAGTCTCCAAGTGTAATTGGGTGCCAGTCCGAAAAATTACAGCAAAGCAGAAAAACCCGACAGCACTCACTAATAAGTATAATACTTTTTAATATAGTGGATTGAACAGCAGCAGTCGAATGCACGTGTTTCAGCTCATAGCCGTCCTCAGCGTTAAATGGTTTGTGGGCATGTGTCCCTTTTAACAGAAACCAGCTGGTTTAGATTAATATTAAAAACAATACAAATATGGATCGTTCATAAATGCAACCTCAGTGATACATCGAATAGTCTAAATATAATTTTTTTTTAAACAGAATAATAGAAAATCTTGAAGCACAAAATACAATACAGTATCAAAAGATAGACTTGCTGAAGACTTATCTCCATACAAAGTGGAAAAACGCCATAACAAGTGACAACAAGTTTACAGTAGGTAAGTAATGGAGGAGAAACTGGTGGTAGTGGTTGCTGGATACCCAGAGTTATACAGCCCGACCATAGACAGCAGGTTGTCAAACTGCCCCCGAGTCATCCTAAAATACAGTACAGGCCAAAAGTTTGGACACACCTTCTCATTCAATGCGTTTTCTTTATTTTCATGACTATTTACATTGTAGATTCTCACTGAAGGCATCAAAACTATGAATGAACACATGTGGAGTTATGTACTTAACAAAAAAAGGTGAAATAACTGAAAACATGTTTTATATTCTAGTTTCTTCAAAATAGCCACCCTTTGCTCTGATTACTGCTTTGCACACTCTTGGCATTCTCTCCATGAGCTTCAAGAGGTAGTCACCTGAAATGGTTTCCACTTCACAGGTGTGCCTTATCAGGGTTAATTAGTGGAATTTCTTGCTTTATCAATGGGGTTGGGACCATCAGTTGTGTTGTGCAGAAGTCAGGTTAATACACAGCCGACAGCCCTATTGGACAACTGTTAAAATTCATATTATGGCAAGAACCAATCAGCTAACTAAAGAAAAACGAGTGGCCATCATTACTTTAAGAAATGAAGGTCAGTCAGTCCGGAAAATTGCAAAAACTTTAAATGTGTCCCCAAGTGGAGTCGCAAAAACCATCAAGCGCTACAACAAAACTGGCACACATGAGGACCGACCCAGGAAAGGAAGACCAAGAGTCACCTCTGCTTCTGAGGATAAGTTCATCCGAGTCACCAGCCTCAGAAATGGCAAGTTAACAGCAGCTCAGATCAGAGACCAGATGAATGCCACACAGAGTTCTAGCAGCAGACCCATCTCTAGAACAACTGTTAAGAGGAGACTGCGAAAATCAGGCCTTCATGGTCAAATAGCTGCTAGGAAACCACTGCTAAGGAGAGGCAACAAGCAGAAGAGAATAGAACTAGAATATAAAACATGTTTTCAGTTATTTCACCTTTTTTTGTTAAGTACATAACTCCACATGTGTTCATTCATAGTTTTGATGCCTTCAGTGAGAATCTACAATGTAAATAGTCATGAAAATAAATAAAACGCATTGAATGAGAAGGTGTGTCCAAACTTTTGGCCTGTACTGTATGTCTGGAAACAACCATCATGGAGGTGAAGCTCCTGGACCAACTTGTGGTACTCGCTGTGATCCACCCTCTTTTTTAGGGTGTCATGTACCCACACAGATCTCTGTTTCCCTGTGCCCAACAAACTATTTACTGACGGCCTCTCACCCTCAACCAGAGCTACAACAAGTACCCTCTGCCTCAACAGTTGAGGAGCTAGATACTGATTACTGTGAAATAACTAAAATAAATGGTAGATTGATTACATGGGAAGGTTATATAAAGGAGGTGATGGGGTGGTTGCCTGGCAACAAGAAAAGGCACACCAAGCGTTTGTTCTTTCACTAGTGGCATCAGTTAAACAAAATAAGGCAGTGCAGCGCACCTCTGTGTGAATTGCGCCTTAGGTTGAAATTTGTCATTCAGAATTAAATGTCTCCACAAGTATGAGATGGAATACCATAAAGTTTGGCACAGACATTTATGTTCTCGTCAGGATAAATTGTGATAATCTTGGTAATACCCTGGGGTTGCACAAAATACCTTAAGTAAAGATTTTCCTAGTTAAGGTAAGGTTTCCTCATAATAAAATCAGTTGCACAAAACACCTTTAAGTCTTCCCCTTAGGGTTTCCTGAAAATGTCCACTCAAGTATTTATGGTTGTCTTCTCTTCTTGGTCTTATGCTTAAGACCGTTGCACAAAAGACCGTAGCGACAAAAGCAAGGTTAAAAAAAAAAAAAAGTAACGTGCCTCTGACTCTCTCTTAACTGCAACATGGCTGAGTTTACGGTGATAAGTTAAAAAAAACTAACATCCCGAGAAGAGTGTTCTGCGACCAGGAGAACCCAATGGATACCCTTTTGGTTTTACACTTAAGATTTGACTGTATTCATTTTCATTGCAATGTCTTCCTACAATTGTTTTCTTTTTTCTGGTATTTGAGGATCAAATTTACGTTGTAGTTTATGATTTCTATGACTGTATTTCTCCAGAAGTTTAATCTTTTCCTCCTCTGGCCAACATGCTTTTCTTGTCTTCTTTTCTTCTGACATTTTGCACTATCTAACTATGAGCCAAATATTGTGAGAAGATAACAGGCATTAAAGGCATGAATCCAAGCAAACAAACAATCTCCATGGAAACTTGTAACATTTTTCCTCAACAAAGGAAACCTTTGGATTCTGTGCACTGTAGAAGTCCCTCAGCTTTGATTTTTTTTCCATTAGTGAAATATGACTTTGTGTAGGAGGCACAGTTTAGCCATGATAGTCATTCATAGCTATAACTGCTGCACTTTAATTCTGTTTGCACAGAAAGTGGTGGCTGTCTGGAATGATATAACTTAGCTATAACTTATATAGCATAACTTATTTTCCATTAGAGGAATTCCTCCAGGAAATATTTAGAGAGAGTGGGTGTTTGGAAAATCTGAGGGGAAATTAATTACCCAGATTACTGCATAATATGACTTAGAAAAAAATGAAAATATAAACAAAACAATAAAAGACATTTAGTGGGTGATAAGTTTTGAAAGTTATTTCCCAGACAGCTATTCATCTGCTTCACAATGCACTGGCTTGTTTACACACAACAGCGTTGGCCCACAGGCCCAATTTGTTAACAGAGGACTTCAGTTTTTAGTTCTGTGTAAATGCATCAGTATAATTTTAAATAAAAATATGTCCCTGTTTCTTTCTTCATTTATCACAACAGCTCAATTTTAATTACAGCTTATCTGTGTGAACTTTTAGATAAATTGTGTCTGCATCCTGACTGAGGTGGAATTAACTCAGATACAGAGGCAACAGGTGATTTTAGGAGTGCTGATTAGATCAAATCTCATGAATGCTCACCTACTCATGAACAGGTGGTGTTTTTCCACTGAAATAAGAGATTTAGAGTAATAATATCAAAATGTTCTTGCATGAGGCCCAGTGAGTTCTGTCAATAAAGCATGTTTGGTTACTTCTTAGTGTACATTAAGAGTAATGTTAGAGAAAATCTTACATTGTGCCAAAACTGACCTCTTCTAAGTGCAAGTGGTTCTGTGCAACTGTATAAGTCCCTTAGCTAAGGGGAAATTAAGCCTTAAGTGTCAAAACTTCAGGTGTTTCATGCAGCCGGTCCCTTACCTTTTATGTAGAGCCATCATCAGAACAAAAATTACATTATTTGACATTCTCATCAGCCTGAGCTGTATTTTGTGTTTAGCGCTAATCAGCCAATGTTTGCATGCAGACACTAAACTAAGATGTTGACCATGGTAAACCTGCTTCACATTAGTATGTTAATACTGCCATTAGCGTTTAGCTTAAAGCATCACTAAGCCGCTGGCGTGGCTGTACTCTCTTAGTCTTGTTTAAAAGTAGCCTAATCTTTTCTCTTGGGGCGGCTGTGACTCAGAGGTCGAGTGAATCGACCACTAATTGGCAGTTTGATCCTCCAGTCTGCACGTCGAAGTAACCTTGGGCAAGATACTAAACCCCAAAATTGCTCCCGATGGCTGTTCCATTGGTGTATGACTGTGTGTAAATGGCTAGTGAGTAGCAGGTGGCACCTTGTATGGTTGCCTCGGCCACCAGTGTGGCGCTTGTAATGGTCAGAAGACTAGAAAAGTGCTATATAGGTTCATTTAAAGATATGCTTTGCTGATTTTACGTCAGCTCCGTGTCATTGCAGTGTGTGCAGATGAACGGGGTTTGGCTCCCCCCTGTGCCACAAACACCCGGAGCTCTACACCCATTTGCCAACTAAAGTCAGACAGGCTGCAATGACACAGAGTTGACGTAAAATCAGCAAAGTTTTCCTTCAAATGCTGTGAGCACCATAAATGGCTTTTCAAACAACTTTGCTGTTTGGAGGTGTCATTAATCCTGGAGATCTCAAAACAATTGGAAAACAAGGTTTTGTTTGAAAAAAAAAATCAATTTCATCAGTCTGAATGTTTTTTTGATTAAGCTCACTGCCTCTAAAGCCCCAAACCAGATGCTACCCTTAGTTCAAAATCCCCAATCAAAACCACCCAAACTGTTCTATCTGTCTCAGTTCATAAAAGAAAAACCCTGTAACATAGTGTGGACTGCACACCTTGCATCTGTAAATAAATAGACTCCTGTATCTTTTGCTCAACTCGATACTTTAATCTGTCATCACAGCTACTTCAAGAAGTTCCAGTACTGCGGCTATGCTCCTCATGTGCGCAGCTGCAAACCCAACACTGACGGCATCTCATCCTTTGAGGACCTGCTGGCCAACATCGTGCTGAGGGTCTTCGTGTGGGTGGTCTCTGCCACCACCTGCTTTGGCAACATCTTCGTCATCTGCATGCGCTCGTATATCCGATCTGAGAACAAGCTCCATGCCATGTGCATCATCTCCCTCTGCTGTAAGTCACACTGCATTTAAAGGAGGGATGTGGAGGAAATTGTTTTATTTATAGAATATCCTTCACCCAGTACATCACTTGCAGTAATATACATACCTCTGAGCCATTTGGGGAAGGAGGGTTTGGGATTTACTGCCCCCAAAACACACATTTACCGAGGATAAATAGTTGGCTGTTTGACGTATTTCACATTTCAGTTTACCCACATTTATATCTACCACTTCATTATGTTTATAGACCTGTCTACACTCTCTGGAGTTATGCCAGGTTCGGCAAAATACTTTAATTTTCTGCTTGTGAAGTAAACATTCCTCTAAACCCAGGAGGAAATTGGAAATTAGTTCCTACCGTGTTTATCAGTGCATTTCATCATTACTGGTTTCACATTACGCACACCGTTAGACACCCTTAATGAATAAGACGAAATGTCAAATTACAAAATCTCATTCCAGACTGTGATGTAAAGATTCAAGAAATTATTCATCGCACAAAATTTACATAAATTATGGAAACTGCTCAAGGAGAGCAGTCAGTGGTTCATTGAAGAGTAGCACTTTAATTACCCCATCACTAAGATAATGAAATATATGCATAGGTAAACACTTACAGTAATTTGATGTCAAATGCTATTTTTGTGGTATACACTCAAAACCAAGCTGCAAAAACTACTTAACTGAGGAGGACAAAAAATGAGGGTAGTATCAATAAACAAATAAATAAATGTATAATTAAATACTCGAATTAATAAATAAATATGGAAATAAATACACAAATAAAAAAATGTGGAAATAAAGAAATAGATGGTATAGATAAATACAGCAACAGGTTATTATATATATGTAAATAAATAGATAAATAAATGCAAGAGTAAATAAATTGATATGAAAATCAATAAAAAAAAGGATGAATAAATACAGGAATAATTAAATGAACAAAAAGATATAGAAATTGTATAAATAAATTCAGGAACAATTGAATAAATAAATAGATTAATAAATACAAAAATAAATTAAAATAAATCAAATTAATATGGGAATCAATAAATGAATAAAGAAATATATAAATTGTATAAATATATATGGAAATAAATAGATACGTAAAAGAAATAAATAGTATAAATAAGTACAGCAATAAGTAATTATATTTGGAAATCAATTAAAAAAATGTATAAATAAATACAGGAATAAATAAATTAATCTGGAACTCAATAAATAAATTCTTCAAATAAATATAGGAATAATTAAATGAATAAAGAAATATAGAAATTGTATAAATAAATACAGGAACAATTGATTAAATAGATAGATTAATAAATACAGAAATAAATTAAAATAAATCAAATAAATATGGGAATACAGAAATGAATAAAGAAATATAGAAATTGCACAAATAAATACAGGAACAATTGATTAAATAGATAGATTAATAAATACAGAAATAAATTAAAATAAATCAAATAAATATGGGAATACAGAAATGAATAAAGAAATATAGAAATTGCACAAATAAATACAGGAACAATTGAATAAAGAAATGGATTAATAAATACAGGAACAATTGAATAAATAAATAGATTAATAAATACAGAAATAAAATAAAATAAATCAAATAAATATGGGAATAAATAAATTAATAAAGAAATATATAAATTGTATAAATAAAAACAGGAGCAAATGAACAAATAAATAGATGAATAAATACAGAAATAAATTAAATGTAATCAATTATGCTTTAGACTGAGGCTCTGGACTTCTGACCTCCATAATATACAGACACAGAAACACAGAAATAAATTAATGTGGATGATCAAAAATGTCGAAATAAATTTAAGATTTTATTTATTTATGCATTCATTTTGTTATTCATGCATTTATGTATTCTTTCATTTATGTGTTCCTTTTTCTTATTCATAGATTTATTTATTGATAGTTAAGTAATTTTTCATTCTCTATACTTAATATGAGTGCATCAGCTTTAAGTAGAAATGTGTGGTGGAGTGTGGTGTTTGGATATGGGAGAGGGAGATTATAAATGAAATGAAATAACAGATTAAATTGAATTAAATTCTACAGTAAGAAAGACTATTGGCAGGGAGAAAGTTCAACAGGAAATGAAGCAGAATTTAAGAGGACACTCTGGAGTTTATCGGTTAAAAATGAACAGTTGTATAGTCACTCCGATCTGTCTGCTGAATACAGCGTTTGAGATAAGGCTACATGTGTGTGCTCATGTGGAAAGACAGGAAATGATCTGAAGATGAGAGGTAGCGCTGACACTACACAGGTTAAGGTCTGATAAAAGCTGCAGTCAATTCTGCTTAAAATCGAGTGTGTTTTCCTTCACGTTTTGGCAGGCTTGCCTCTCAATGACAAACAGTGTGGGTCTCACTGTGATATTATAGGTCACACGAGGAAATGGATTTCATGACAGTGTGGTGCTGTAGAGAATATAAAGCAAACAAATTCATCTTTAAAGGAAATTGCTGGTATTGGAAGTCAATAAATGGATGTAAGTTGGAGTGTACATTGATTTTGTTACTCCCAAGAGAAATTTTAATCCCACTGGTAACTGCGCAGATACAGAAAACGTAAAAGTATATTGAAAATAAACGTTCAAGACAACCTATATA